GTGTCAACCCACTTTCTGATTCTGATGTCCTATTCGACATTTATTGCTGAAACTATTATGTGCGGCTAATAATATATGCGGTCACATGGAATAGCGTAAATCGCATATGCAGCATTTGCTTGTGATGCAGTTTTGACTTCACCGCTCTGAGCTATTGATTTCAATTCGCGTAATAATGCTTCTATAAACTAGTTTCACACCATGACTGAGTGATTTGACCATAGTTTCAACATTATGCGTACTATGGGTAATTAGCCGAGTTCGAACCAAAATATATGCGATCTTCATTGTCTTTTCTGATAACCTCAGAAACAGATGAACTTGTCCAACTGCTTCTAACTATAATGCACGGTGAGCACTCTGAGCGTTAGCCATCATCCTAGCCCACTTTCGTGCAATAAACATATCCAATTCGAAATCAGTATCCAAAACCCCATCCGTGTGGTATATTTGAAAATTTTCGGAAAATTTATTTTTTTCAATTAACACAAGTAAACCTTCCGATGTGTCTTTCTTCCGCCGCCGGTCATTTTATACCCACCGCCGCCGCTAAAGGCGGAGAAAAACTGTTCTGACTTCCGCCGCCGCCATGCCTGTCTGATATAAATATGAAAATGTCTACTAGTGAATTAAGGGGGTTTCGGAAGTTTTACAAGAGATAGGTGGATAGGAGATGGTAAGACATAAAATGGACAAAGGAATGACCATTGAATGAGGAGGCGGGGAATGTGGTAGATCATATATATATTATTTAAAATCTTATCACATTAGAAGTTGAAACAAAACTTATTATCGAAAAAAATTTTTTCATCCATGGTATTAAATACTTAAATAAATCCAGATGCTTTTTCTAAATGTATGTCAAAAATGCATGTGTTCGTAAGAAAATATTTTTTCATGTATTCAACTTTCGTTTATACATATTAGTCAAATAAAAAACAACTCATTTGTGGTAATTGACATTTTAAACACTATTATTTGTGCTAAATCTGCTCATTGATGTACAGATCAACAAATGGCATCAAACGAACTTCTTCTGTTTTATTAGAAGACACATTCGCTCACATTGTGCTTTAGTTAATCTATTTTCTCGCTGGTTACTTCCTTCAAAAGCTTCAGTTTCATTCAATTTGCCTTTAGTACAGATCAGGCATGCCACCATCCCATGGTAGGGCTCGTTGATCGGCAGCGAACATGTTCGGTAACAAACCGTTCGGTGCCGATCAGCGAATCCTGGTTTGGGATTGTTGCATGCCTACTTCGGCGGCGGCGTGTAGAAATTGGTTATCGGCGACGAATCTCATAATTTAAGTAAAACAACGTTCGCTTTCATTTCTGGCACGTTCTTCGTGCCCGGATCTCTGATCAAATACGTCCCCCTCCTTTTCAAATAAACCACGCGGGTGCGGTTTTGGATACTGATCTCGAATTGAATACGTTTATTGCACGAAAGTGAGCTTTTTTTTTTAAGCAGTTGACTTTATATTTAAAAAAATACAGCAAATCGGGCTTTCTCCCATTACATGCTGTCAAAAAGTAAAATTTAAAAAAGGTAAGAAAAAAAAAGTAAAAAAGATAGAAGAAGAAAAATTCTTGAACAGTAGAGGAGAGTGTTTCTATGTATCAAATAGAGTCAGTTTGTGTTGATAGTGACTTTAAAGCAATCAAACAAGCTACCAGATACAGTACTAGTGGAAGCGTCGAGTATCTGTATTATACTTAGTAAATTTCTTAAAGCCTGCTTTGGAAGAAAAAATTGGAACTCTCACTACTTTTGGTATGCCCTAAGTAACTAGGCGAAGGAGAAGAAGACAACAATGATCGAACGGTAACCATCACTGAAGACCCTGTCGTTGAAAGGGTGTCAGTGGCGGTGCAGACTCAGCATGAAACGATCGATCTTTCTGCATCTCCTGCAGTGGAAATGATCGATCTGTGCACACCATCAACGATTGATCTGTGCACACCAGAAGAGGTGACTGGGAAGATGACTATCGACACTTCTTCCATTCATTTGTCACAGAAATAAATATCCTCTCGTTATTTTGATGTAGATGTCCAAAAGAGATGATTGAATAGGACGTGTTGCTCTTGTTGTAGATTTCTTTTGCATTTCACTCACTTGACCATGATTGATCAGTCTACGACGACAACAGACCAAGCGAAGAAAACTCCTAGCCAAGATGCACAGGGTCGATGGTATGAACTACTATCGCCTGGACAGATCTTGACTGGACAAGAAAATGGTGATATACATATCCTCGAACGACCACAGCAAGCAATGGGCGTCACAACGACGATAATTCAGGGGAAGAAAAAGAAGAAGTGTCGTGGAAATCGAAAGGCACAACGTCAACGACGAAAGCTACGTCGTCAGGAAGAAAAGCAGCAGAAGAAGAGAAATGTGGTTGATACAGATGATGATCTTAGTGGTAGAAACGGAGAAGAAGAAGAAGATGCACAAGTAAGTCAAGCAAGTTTTTCATTGATCGATCAATCTAGTGCTTCTATCTTCTGTTCAGACATCTTCTGGCCAAAGTCAACCATCGACACGAGGTGGAACGAAGCGTAAACGTCATGAACTGAGCCATAATGATGTCAGACATCTCTCTCAATCACTCAGCCAGTTGTCAGTATCACGACAACAAGTGAAAAAACAGCCAACGGCAGGGGCGAAGGATGATGGAGCATGTCATCGAAGAACGGCAGATGACGGTGGAAAATGAGATGCATCGAAAACTCGAGGCATTAGAGGAATGCCTGATCAAACTTGAAGAATATGCCCGACAGTGGCAGCCATCATTTGATCCGAACCTGTTGTCATATGCCATTGATGAATTCGTCAAACATGGGCAGAAGCGACTACGGGACGAGTTTGATCATAAGAGAAAGATGTTCCTGTTGGATGCCACCGATCACTATCTGATTCGATCCTTCTATTGGTTGCAACCGAACCCAGAGCAGGTCAGTGTAAAGCAAGAAAGTCGACGGTGCTTCGGAAATCGTGAACTAACACATTCTTGTTGTTGGATGATAGATTGATCTAGCCAAGAAGATCTGGCAAGCAACAGCAGATGCTTTTCGTACGAAAGAAAGCGAAGAAATTCTTCGCAAACGCATTGCACTTCGACGACCACCGAATCGGATGGATCGATTGGTCGATGAAACAATGGTGTCGATGGAATTCTTGCTGTCGAATCCGATGATTGACAAGGATCAACGCGCAAGTTTTGCGTCATCGTGTACGAAGCTTGTGACACAGTACAAGTTCGATCTTCTGTGTCTGGATCTACAAATCATTCAGCACATCCGACGTGCGCATCAGAACAAGTTGTCAGAATTATTGCAGAGCTTATCCGCCTGTGACTGGGATGGTTCGATCAAGCAGGCAATCATCGATCGACAGAATACAATGATGGAACGGCATGAAGTGCACGTGGCACATCGTCTGAAGACTTTTTTCGTCGATGCTCCGATGGTATGAGACCGAAGAAGCAGCATGGTCACCATCGGAGCAGAACTATTGTCCATACAACAATCACTGCTTCATCTCCTTTCATCGAAGTCGACTTGAACCTATCTCGTCAGCAAATGCTAATGCTCATCCATGGTCTGAAATACGTGATATCTTGCCAAAGTCGATTCTCTCATCTATCAGTCAATCAACTGGTCACTGGACAATTCGAGAGCATATCAACTACGATCAAGAACTGTCTTCGAGATCATCAAATGTCAGCAACAGATGATCGAGCGAAACGAGCATTCGATGCTCTGAAAGAACTCCTGCAGAAACTCTATTCGAAACCAACGGGGGAAAAGTTGACTCGAACTGCTCGACGAGAATTGAAAGTACTGCGAAGTATTCGACGAATTCTACAGAATCGACCTGATATTGTCATTCGTCGAACTGATAAGTGCAAAGTCTTCTATATCGGTCGAGCGAGAGACTTTGCACGCACGACAGAAGAATACATGTCGAAGACGGAAGCTCATCAAGAGATCACTACCGGTCGATGTCCTCTGGCTGATATTTTGCAAGCTGTGCAGACATTACTCAGTTATCTCTTGTCGAAAAATGCTCTGACGAAGAAACAATGTCAGAATATTTCACCTAAACTCGACCAGCTAGAGATAGCTCATTATCACGGTTTGCCAAAGCCGCACAAAGTAAAGTCTGCCTCTTGAGCGTGTGTGGACTTCTAAATCTTCCTGTCTATCATCTTTGGTAGCCTGGAACTCTTCTAAGACCGATCGTTGCATCGATGCATGGTCCAACAACAGCGTTGTCGAAGTTCTTGAATGATTTGCTGGCACCAATCTTCTTGAAAGTGGCTCGTCAAACGACATTCGTCAATGGGATCTATGTGGTTCGTCAGCTAGCAAAGTATGTTGCTGATGGTCATCTAACAGCAACGACGAAATTCATCACTGCTGATGTGACGGATTTGTATACGATGATTCCTCGACAAGGTGCCTTGGTAGCACTGGCGCGATTCTGCGCCAAACATTCTCGATGGGGAAAGATTGGCACATTGACGATCGATCCCATCATGAAAATGGCTCGATTGATCCTGGACACAAACTGTTTTGCTTACAATGAGAAGTACTATCGACAAGTTCGTGGCGGAGCGATGGGTTCGGCATTCACACAAGTGCTGGCGAACATCTATATGTTGGAATGGGAACAGGACTTGATTCAGTATCAGTCCACTAAGAGTGAAATTTATAGACGATAGGGTCGAACTGTAGAAGTTTTTTTTAAATCAATCGATGAACGGTTACGAAATTTCTCTGTTGTCCAGATACATTGATGACATCTTCATGACTACAAACGAATCGATCGATGAGATAGCTGAGCAACTGAAAAGAGCTGGAAATAAGGATGTGAACATTAAGACCGATTATCGCATCGCAGCATCGGTGGATTTTCTTGATTCCATCGTCAATGAGAATGGTCGATTAAGAACATCGCTTTATCATAAATCAGCAGCAGAACCTTACATTCTGCCATTCACATCTGATCATCCTCGACATATCCATCGAAATATTCCTTATGCAGCCCTCCTGCGTGCTGCTCGACTGTGCTCAAACGTAGAAGATTTTGATACCGAATGTGTTCGACTGAATGGGCTATTGAATGATTATCCACCTGCATTCGTCGCCAGAGCAAGAGATCGATTCTTTTGAGTGAACAATGCGATGCTCGTATGGAATGCACTGGATACAGATGCATATCAACGATTGCATCATGCTACATTGCATCAATGTACACGTCGTGAGAAAATCATCGCCAAAATCACAAAAGATCCCGTCGAATTACCTGCAGTTCTACAGGAGAAGCAATGGAATGTGAATGTGATGTATCCACGTTACACCTTCGATCGTGCCTTCACCGTCCACTTCAATGATCGTTTTCATAAATGGTGGAACCACTTCTATCGATATCCAGGCTCTCCAGTACGACTAGTTGATGTCAGCTTGACTGCTATCTCTAATCGAACCTTGGAACAATTTTTGATCAAGAAGAAGTCTCCAGAACATATCTTGCTCGCCATGGAATCGACTTAATAGTTCTCCACTGGCAACATCTACTCGCAAGGCTTGCTTCATTCTTTTTCTGCAATAGCCGGTGCTTTCAGCTGGTATACTTTTTGTAAAAAAACTTCATGATCGTATTGTTTGCATTTGTATCGCAGTGCTGATCGAGTCCTATGTACTCAGCATCTCCATGGTCTACGTGACTATCCTCTGTATCAGAAAGAAATAGAGAAGTATAGTTGATGCGATTTTTCTTCGACGATCCTTACCATAATGAGAAAGGTTATTGATAGTTTTGCGTTCTGTCGAAAGAAAAGATCATATCCAAGACTTTCTGATATGCTGCTAACAATTGGATGTCATTACTTTTCCTTCCAGATTCTTTCCACGTCAATTGAAAACATGCAACATCCAAGTTACAGCGCTGTTGTGCAATATTCATGGGTTTCCTCTCCTGTTCGAAGTCAAGTTGATCTAGCAAAACTAACTCGACATACTGCGTCGAATATGAGTAAACTTTTCTCCTTTTCAAAGAAATCGGCAACAGCAACAGCAATCAATGACAAATCCGACGAATACATCTGGTCCTCCATCGATGAAGAAACCAATACAACTGTCGAAAGCACTGTGTCGTTGCCGAAACATGTCGAAGATGATCAACGCGTCTTTCATGCACAGTTTTCGCAGGAAGCAGCGATCATGCTCGGGAACTTACGTGCACGATTTCCTTTTCGTCACGTGATTCATTGGACGCTATACATTAGTGATCAATGCCAGCATGTCCTCGACATCGACGTCAAACCACCAACATAGATAGACAGATATTGAATATATCAGTTGCTGCTTCCCGAATAAACATGTCCCTTCCATTGCACTAACAACATTCAAAGCTTCGAAAGGCTGAAATCGAGCGAAAGCGCTCAGTCATACTAACATCTAGCACCCAAAGACCAAAGCTCTCTAGATTAAGCAAAGCCAAACCATATAACCGGTTGAACCTTTCGACTATTTCAGACACTCTCCACACACTAAAAAACAGCAGTGCCTCATCCCAAACAGATTCAACGATGAATCTCAACTTACACTGACAAGCGCCAGATACGTAATCAGCTTCGACTAGCCGACCGACGACTTCCCTTACCATTGGACAATACAGCAAAACCCCTTTCACGTACTCCAAACTGAACAAGCGATTCTCTCCAATGAGTTAAACATCAATATGATTTCTGCACATGCCTGATGATGACTAGATTAAGCCCTAATCGAAACGATCGTTGTGTGATGCTTTGGAATCACTTGACTAGAGAACTCACCCTCACCCTTCACCCTCATCGGAGTCTTCTTCAACAGCGTTTCGAAACGGGTACCTTATCAACACGGTCGCGATGGAAGAGAACAATTAAAGACTTCGATTTGGATTTCCCCGAGCCCTCCCACGATGATTTGTGCATGCTTTTCTTTAGCACTTACATTTAGCACTTACAAGATCAAACTAGCTCGCTGTTATACAGAAGAACATGTTGATGACAGAGGAGATTACACTGTTGAAATCAACGACAACAGCGAAAATATCCTTCGATGCGCGATTCAAAGCCGCCACTGGAACAAGACCAAACACAAGTGCTGGATCCAATACTCGTTCTTGGGAGATCCGATTGTTGCATGGTATTGTACCTGTCCTAGTGGCTCGGTTACCATTGGCGCCCAGGTCCAAGGAGACCAGTCGGATGCCGTCGGATCCTGATAACTTCTATGGGATCCAGTCGGAGGATATCGGAATCCTCGTTGTCGGATTCCGACTACCGAACCCGACTGAATCACTACAACTTACGACAGAGTCCTGCCGGATTTCGTCGGAATCCGATACCTTCCGACGAAAACCGATCGACAGGATTGTTCGAGAGAGAGATGTTGATGAAGTTGATCTATTCAATATCCTTGTCGGATAAATAGATAATCCGATTGTTCTGAAGTTTGGGATTGAGTTTTCCATAGAGATAATCATGAGAGGGCGAAACATTCATGAAAATGAATCGTGCATTTTGTGTGGAAAAAGATGTTCTTTGTTAGTTTCTCGAAAAAACGAAGCTTTGGGAGAGCATCGATTTGTTGCGAAGCCACACCATTTTGTAGAGCTCGAGACGGCGCAGTTTTCTATGACAAAGCCATTTAGCACTAACTCGATCTTCGAAGGTAAATGGCCTCCGCAAAAATGATGAAAAAGTGTTACTTGAAAGAAATTCAAGAAATCTCTTCATGGATATTCATGGAATTTTCAATTTTGTCTCTACTGCACATCAATGAGATAGACTGTCATTCCAATCAACTATGTCAGTCTGTAGAACGTGAAAAGCTGCGTCGAACAGGGTAATTGGTTTCAGTGGGAATCTATCTAGATGGAGAAAGAAATGGGTCTGAAAAGTTGCTATGAGAGGGAAACGCACCGTCATAGGTGACAACAAAGTGATCCATGGCACTTCTGTTTCCCGTTGGTTGACGACCGTAGAAATACATGGAAATAGTATAGAAATAGCATAGATCGATGCAGACTTTTTCGCTCTATCTTACTAGATACAAGAGATCTCAAAACAGGAGGGGGGCAGATTTACGGTCTTATCCGTCCATGTCCTTTCATGTGCACCATACCAGTCAGTAAGATTACTGTGCCTAGTGTAACAACTCGAAAGGATATTGCACAATGATTCACACTAAATAAGAACAAAAAAGCGGCATTTATGATTATTACTGGTCATCTGGATGAAATGGACAAAATAAATGAAGGTAGCATGATTAAGTGGAAAAATAACGATTTCTGAATTTATCCCCTGTTTTTATAGACGGCAAGCAAGATCAATTGATCATGTGTGTACCCGGTTGCGGTGGTACTGGAAAATCGCAACTGATACGTGCAATAACTGCGTACTTTGCAGAAACGAATCGTGCGCACAAACTTCGAAAACTTGCTCCAACCCAGGTCCACTGTCAGGCGTCATTCGCGGCGCGATCGCGGTGTCGCTACCGCGATCCCTATGATATCCTGCATGTCGCGGCGCGATCGCGATGTAATCTTATATTCGCGTCGCGATCGCTATAATATGGCGAAGTCGCGGCGTGATCTTGATCGATTGTTATTTTAAAAAGAATTTTTTTTTAAGAGTCGCTGCGCGATATGTAGTCGCGTCGCGATCGCTATAATGTCGCGAAGTCACGACGGGACTCTGAATTCTGCATCAATTCGATTCAGATAGATTTCGAATTCATATGGGTTTTTATTTAGCGCACTCACTACCATATCGCTATTTCGCGACGCGACTCACGTCAAGGGATTTTATTGATGGATATAGTTAGTCATTTTCTTGAATTACAAGAACGCAAACAATTCTTTTTCTCTTATTTCAAAGTGAGGATTTATGTTTCGTATATACGAATAAATAGTCCACATTCTGTCTATAACATAAATAGTATACTATATGTCTAGACACATAGACACGTGTGTGATCGAAGATATGGGTTTTTGTTATTCTCATTTTAAATGAGATATACAAAAAGAAATCAGTGTCCATATTATACACAAGACACTTTGTATTTTCTTAACATAGTGTGCAGACTATTTTTATACTCGAATTTTTTGCAGTTTGTATCTGTTTTTTTCACTTTTTCAAAAGGGAATTACATGAAAAAACACGTAGTATACAAAGTAAGTAAACAGCAATTTCAACGACCGAAAGAGTATGGAACCATAAATCCTTCCCACTTTTCTTGTCACAAAGTTGAAATCTTTTTTTTTAACTATTTTGGGTCACAAAACGCTCTCTTTCACAAAATGTATGAGATCTAGGGACTTCCACTATGTATAACTTTGTTAAATATGTTAACTTCGCAAGGTCTCAGAATAAAATTGCACTAAAGTGAGAACAGCATTAAAGGTTGATGTCATCGCAATCGTGAGTATCCTCGGTGTAAGATCGCTTTGTCGTTGGTGACTTTCAGAATGTAGCGAGTAACAGCTCGGTCCTGTTTGACGCAGAGAGGATTGGGGCTAAGCCATTCCGCCTCATTCACAGGATGCTAGATTGGCTCTAGCAACGAACGGATATTAGCGTCTAGTATTCAGGGATACGCATTCTCTTAA